TGCACACCCCTTTGGAGTTCAGGAGCTACATTCAGCAAGTCAACCCAGGTGGAGTGTTTGAAGGTCACAAGGGTGAAAAGAGAAGTAAAAAAACATGACCTTCAAAGAAAGTAAAAAAGTAGTACCAGACAGGAGTCTTTGCCTGATGTCATTCAAATTATCTGTGCAAAAGGCCTCTAACATAAATAGGTCTGCAGCTAATGTCTGAGTCTGAAATGTTATTAAATAATTTGTTATTGTCAAGGTTTCTGGCAGGAAACAGATGGAACATACAAACTGGTATAAAGACATTTAATAAAGGGTTTGTTGTAAAGGATTGCCCAAGCATTTGCAGATTTCGCAGGAAGGAGGGGGCTGGGGAGGCAAATCACACGGGACCTACTAGGTTCCCCATTTCGTGCCGGTGTTGCCACCAGTTGAACCAACTGAGCCCAGTGCAGTTATGGCAAATCAGTATCCTGGCGACAAAAGAAGAGATAAGAAATCAACAATTTGATTTCAAACCCAGGGATCCCAAATGTAAGCACAGAATACTTACTTCTTCACTGGCTATCCTGTGCCTTGTAGGATGTATTAGCAACCAACATCTAAGACCTCATTCCACCTTTTTTCTCCCCAAATGGGGACAGACGAAAATGTTTGTAGGACACTGCCAAAATGTTTTCCTGGGTATATTAAATTTCACTTCCCAGTTGAGAACCACATAGTTAAGAGAATCTAAAATCATAAAACATACCAGTTAATGGCATTTGAAGTTGAATAAGACTATTCAGAAGTCCCCCTTTTATTGTTATCATCATCATTGTAACTGTAGATTCTACATATGAAGCAAAAACACAGTGAGAGTTGTCTGTTTAGAGCTTGGCTAATCTCTTCACTCAATATTGGATGATCTCCAATTCATCCATTTTCTTGTAAATGACACAATTTCACTCTTCTTTATGGATGAATAATCTCCCACACATTCTTTATAAATTCATCGGTTTGTTGGGAGTCTAGTTGGATTCCATAGCTTGCTATCGACTAGTGCTGTGATAAAAATAAGTACACATGTAACTCTCTTATATGTTGATTTAAGTCCCTTCAGATATATGCTCAAGGTAAGGGAGGGTCTTGAGGTAGTCAATTTTTAGTTTTTTTGAGGAACCTTCATACTGATTTCCATAAAGGTTGCACTACTTTAGAGTGTAAGGCTTCCTTTTCCCCTGCATTCTCACCCAGCATTTGTGTTGTTGTTTGTCTTCTTGATGTTAACCATTCTAGTCACAAAACTGATGGTGACATGAAGTTTGTGTTGTTTTGACTTGCATATCCCTGATGACTAAGGACGTTGAAACATTTCTACATGTATTTTTAGATATTTATACCTCTCCTGAGAACTATCTGTTCAATTCACTTACCCATTTATTAATTGGAATATTGTTCTTTTGGTGTTTAATTTTTTGAGTTCTTTGTATATTTTGGATATTAATCCTTTATCTGATGAATAACTGGCAAAGATTTTCTCAAGTTTGTGGGTTGTCTCTTGATTCTGGTACTTGTTTCCTTTGACGATGCAGAAGTTTTTCAAATTTGAATGCAGTCCAATTTGTCAACTCTTGCTCTTACTTCCTGGGCAAATGGAGTCATATTCAGAAAATAATTACCTATGCCTGTATCTTCAAGTGTTTTCTTGTAGTAGCTTCAAAGTTTCAAGTCTTACATTAAAATCCTTGATCCTTTGAACTGATTTTTGTATAGGGTGAGAGATGAAGATCTAGTTTCAGTTTATCACAGATG